GTCCTTTTCTTTGTCAACAACCATTTTCAAACTAATACTTGATAAAAAATAAAAAATTCTAATGCAATACATTGGACCATGCACATAATGCTGATACAAATAAAAACAAATAAAGCAAAATAATCTACTTATAGGCTATGCAATTCCAAAATACTTCAGGATATTATTTTAACTTAGACTTTCTTACATTTCTGAAAAAAAAAATTATTCACGTAAGTGAATAGAGATGATCGAAGACCCTTGTTTCTATATAAAATTGTCTTAAAGAACTCACTATTCCAATTTGTTTTCATTAATGTTGCACTGAGAGTGTGCCTAATCAAATGTCCATTCAAAGTTCAGCAAACCAGGATCAATCAAATCAGCCAACCTCGTTCACTTTTATTTATTTAAACAAAGCAAGGGACATGGAATATGAAGTCAGGGTTCCACTGAAGGATTATAAATACAGACTGAAAGAGCAAACTAACTCTCTGAGGAAAGCTCATTTCTAAAATAAACTGCTGGTTTAGGAAACCACTTTAAGACCAAGCTTGGGGAATACCAGGACTAAATATTCCACTTAAATTTGAAAACCCAAGGCATCCTTAGCTAAAACTATATATACCCTTGACAACTTATATTAATGGGTATGATAGCTTTGCAGTTGTTTATGAATATAATACATACATAGTGCTGGGTTTAATATTTTATTTGAATGGTGTTTAATGTTATGCAAAATAAATTATTTTTGTTACATCCACTGTGACATCAACTAAAATGTGAACTAGTTTGCATAGGTTAGTACTGTGGGCAGCATGATGTTGCTCTAGTCCACCAAGGCTTAAAGATTCACAGTGTAGAGGAAGAAACAGGAATTAAAGCATTTCTACTAAAATATATTTTAATAGCTGGTGTTAACTTTCTGCATAACAAAAGCCAAATTAAGATGATACATCATATGATCCAAGAGTAAGTATATCTGTCCTTTGAAAAACAAGTTTTACCCTCATTACCATATACTCCCAAATACAGTACAGTTTTGCAAATAACTAAAACTTTACACATTTTAAAGCAAACATAAGCCAAACTGTGCAGCGGTTCATTTTTGCTTCTTATGTTACACTGCAAAAACCAACAGCTGAGAGAGTTGCCACATCATGCTAATCAATGTTAATATGGTCATTGCTGCCTTCCAATGGTCTAGCAATTTCTAACAGTAATATTTAATACACATGATTGAAATGCTACAGTATAGCTTATTTTCCCAAAAATAATAATAATTAAACAAATGTCAACAGCAACTAGATTACAACTTAAGTACAATATGCAAATTCTACTTATCAGACACAAGAAGCATATGAAATTCCTTTGAATATACTGTTGTAGTGCAGGCAGTCTAGGAGAGAATATAGCTTTCTGGTTCTCTTTCAAAGGGGAGATGGAATTCCTATGGCGTAAAGCTGGAGAAAATCACTAAAGCATTGCAAAATGGTTTGTTCTTCTATAGCTCACTAGCACTTTGCATTTGCCAGCACATCAGTTTGGAGATCTTTTTCAACAGCATCTTTAGTCTGTTTCAGTATATTACTTAAACATTTACTAACAAAAGCTTATTCTGTATTTCAAATGGAGTATTAATCAATATAATTAAAATCTAATGTTTTATACCCTACACCACGTCCTGCCAAAGACTTCTGTATTTGTCAGTTCTTTTTCATTGTGCATGATAACATGCAGTCACAGTACAATAAAAACTAGAATTATTACCTTTCCCAATATTGGAGACCTTCCATTTCCCTGAGGAACACTTGGAAGGGACACATTTGTCACAAATATAATCCATGGGAGGTGATGCACTGTCAAATCCCAATCTATTGAAGTGGTTTATGGTATGTCAAATGTAATCAAGAAAACCCTGTTTCATCAAGATTAAATGCTAATGTTCTATAATGAAAAATTATAACTGCAGTATCTCTAAGTAGCTTTGTTTAGAGAATGAAGACTAGCCAGGCAAGAAAGAGCACTGAAAAGCAAGGCACCCATTTGTTCTCCTATGTGTATGTGTATGAATATGCTATATGTAGTTTGCTGTATTTATATTTTTGTCAGAAAGAATTATAGCACAATATAACACCTAAACTTTCTAAAAGGCTTAAAATAGGAATGTGTGAATTTCTAACATGAATTTTGTAACTTTGGGGGAAATCTGGCTTCTTAAAAAAAGTCTTTTCCTTCCCCTAGGAAAATGCTGTCTACAAGAAGAAAGTACAGTGAGAGGAACAAGCTGTGTTAAAAAGAAATAGGCAATTTAAAGGTGATGAGACAGCACATAGCATCTGTTCCCACCTATATCTCACTGTATGTAACAGGCTCCAGTAGATACCTTGTAAAACCTATGCTAAAATATTTTGATAATTGCACTCTGAAAATATGAGGCATTTGATATCACTTCTGAGAACAAAGCCGCATAATGAATATTTATTTATTTATGAATATATAATCATTCATATATTCATTTATATCAGAAAAAAACAGGAACCATTCCAAATGAACAAAAACTACTAAGCATATGCAATATAAAAAGATATTATCTGTATGAGTAACTTAAAACAGCTCTTACTAATTCTGCTAACCATTCTCATGAGAAACATAATTCACATAATGTTTTCTTGATCTTTTTTATTTTTGCATGTTGCCTTAGGTGCTTTGCTAAGTTATAGAATAATCAAAATTCATAAAGAAAATTTTATTTTCATGGTTTAACATAATATATTCCTTCAGTGTCATCAGATACTCATTTCCTGGTTTACTTTTAACTCTGTTCAACACTGGAAGGTACTTCCCAAGTTGGAAGAACACCAGTGTATTTATAGGTCGTGCAGCTCTTATAAGTCACTACAGATTGCAACTTGATGCAGTATATTTGCTCCCTGCATTTCTTTTTATACAAGTCTGTTTAGCTGATTCACAACCTGTTTTAATTGCTGCCAGCATCACACAGCTAATAGAACAGCACAGCAGCAAGTGGCACCAATTCTGCCTCAGGCGTCATCAGAAAAATTTGCCAGCCATCATAAAATAAGATTCCTCTATTTGCTGTTGATGGCTGGTGACAATAACCTACGCAGAAGCAGACTGCTTTTGGGATTCTAGGCTGAGCTTGCCACATCGGCCTTTGAAAAAGCCGTTTGACTCGCAAAGCTAACAAATCTAACACAGAAATCATCAGTAACATATTAGGGTCTGTTCCAGAAGTAGCTCTATATGCAAAAGTCTTCTGTCTTGCAAGAATTTTAGTGACAGCAATGTGCCCTGTATTGCTGTCATATTTAGAGTATCGCATTCCTTACTTTAAGCTACATTTTCTGAAATTAGATGCTCCTGGGCAGCTTTATCCTTGAAATTAGGCAGCTGGCAAGAAAGCATGAACAAATCACAATTATGAAATTCTCTTTTTTTAATGTCGTCACTCCACTTTCTGTTTGGCAGCCTGAAACCTGCCCCTTATTAACACACACGCGCACACACAAATGCATAAGCTTTCAATTTCTTAATGGTACACAAAAGCAGAACAGGCAGGTATTTTTTACTGATAAGTTTCATTTGATGAAATAAATCCCTACTCCCTTCCTTCTTTAGTGTTTAATGAGATATTGCAGGCTTCCTTGTTTTTGTGCAGAAAAAAATATATATAAAAAAAATTATCTGTAAGCTCTACATTTAGTTCTACTTTTAAAAATCCAAAAATATAAGAACACCAGTGCAGATTCAACACTCTGACAACTACCTTAAAGTTAACTTCTCTAACACACCGCTAAATACCATAAATGATACCGGCAGGAACGTTTTCTTTCTTACATACATATACATCCGTATGAAATTTCTATGTGAATCTTGAACATTTTTGTACTTCCTCCCAGAGACTCTTCTGGGAGGGAACACGGCACCCTCTCAGCTGGAATACCACGGCTTTGACTCCTGCTTGGTTAATTTTCACTTTCATATCAGTTAAGGGAAAGAATAAATCAATTTAATATATATATAAAGGCATATATATAGGATAAATATATATCCTTTGTTAATCATTTGGTAAGAATACAACCCACAGCTGGATCACCAGGTGATCTGGAGGAAACAGAGTGACAGGCCATTGCACTGAAGCACACTACAAGAACCAGAGCTCTTTATGACTCTGCAGTGAAGGGCGAGGGTTTCTGCAGCGGGGTAGGCACGTCAGCTTGGCAGCCGGGAAGCAAGGAGCTTGTGGCAGGAGTGAGGGATGTGACTGCACGCCTTGTGCAGCCACACAGCACTGGGGCCTCACACAGGCTATTTACAGCACTACACGTGGAGATAAAGTAACATGAAGTATTGATTGTTCACTGCCCTACTGGAAGGTTCTATTTAAATGACAAGTATTATTAAAAGGAAACAGAGGAGCTGGTAGGTTCTATTCTCTAGATAGTCTCTGTGAGGAGCTTTGTGTGGAAAAGATACTGAAGAACCATGAATCCTGTCATAGATATAACTGATGGACTGGGATGCAAGCAAAGCTGATAGAAGAGGTTACTGTTGAGCATAAAAGAAAATGGGCAATCCAGGAGTAATGGTGGGTTAGAGTCAGGAAATATTTGCTCTCAAAATAGTTCTGTTTCATGTAAGGCTGCTGGGCAACATGGTTTTATTTGTTTTTTATTAACATATTACCAGTCATTATTTCAAAATGCTGAATTCTCTACACAATATTTTATTAGGATACTAACTGCTCAAAAGCCAAACACTCCTCCTATAATTTGAAGAAGTGTTCCAACTCAAGGTGCTAACCTCTTGTGATTTCAGACTGCTGTAAGAAGTGAATCTATTTTATAGTTCTGTTATAAGGAAGAATAACCTCTTTGAGAAGAAGGGAAATGGTAATTTCCTTTTACAGACTGAAACATTCATAGGTCAGCAGCACCAGCCTTCTATGTATCTTTTATTTTTAGGGAGCACTATTGTAAGCAATGCTGAGTTCTGAATTTCTGGTTTGTTTATCTGCACTTTAAAGGACTCTAAATTGGATTCTGAATGAAAATGCAGACTGTTACAGCAGTGAAAAAGTAAAGAACATGTGGTCTTAAAAGATTCTTTTGATTTTTTTTCTAAAAGGTTAGATTTTGAGTTAATCAGAATAAAGCTCAAAGGACAAGAGACAAAAATTAGTTAACAAACTCAATATAATTTGCTGGAAGCATTCCTGTTTTCCCAGTTCTCTGAACAGTACCATACATCCAGCCATCATCAATTGGTTGCACATTGATGATATAATCGCCATCCCTGAAGGAAACTTCATCTTCATCTTGAGCACTGTAGTCATACATAGCTCTGTATGTTCTCTGTTGAAGAAAAGAAGAAAGACTGTAAAGTCTCAAGCTTAAGCAGAAAGAGCATCTTTGTCTTCTTTCAGAGAGAAAAAGGAAAGAGCAAGAGGAAGAAAGGAGGGAGCAAGGGAAAAAGAGAAATTAGATAAGTTACCTTTTGAAAAGAAACAACACATCCCTTCCTGATAATTATTTAATAAATATAACCTTTTTTTCTGAGTACCAAAATGGTGACTTCTGTGAACCTGACTCCTGAAATGTTCTTTCTAACCATTGCTTTATATACACACTAGTAACAGTTTATTATGCCCAGCTGGCTGTGGACACTGCCTCTGACTGTGCACTGCTTCTGCTCCCTGTTTCCATGATACCCAAACAGCTTGTGCTGTGTCTTCACTTCAGAAAAGTAACATCTTCACGCAGGTCTTTAACTTTGCCATCCCATTGAATGTCCTTCATTTGCTTTAACATTTTATCCAAAATTAGAAGTCACAATATATATTAATGAAATATAATATATAACTATATATATACAATATATAATGAAAACAAGATTTCCAGAGTCTGTAAAAACTGTTTTTTTTTCAATTATACAAGCACAAATAAATGATTAACCTAAACAGAACACCAAGTCCTGTTTTTAGCTAAACTAGACTCCCGAATACTTCTGCCAGCTGCAAGCAAAGATTTCAGTTTCCTTTTCATATATTTATTTCAATTTTCTAATCAATAATATGCTATCATTTATTGGACCGCAAAGTACGGCTTCTAACTTACATGAAACAAAGTCTCCCATTGTGTTTTAATGACAGAGTAAAAGTAGCTCAATTTAAAATTCTCAAGAGTTTTTTCCCCCTTTTTTTTTGTCTCTCAATAGAAGTCAAGAACGTTCAGGCATTACTGATAATACCTCTGGCCTGCCAGCTCTTTTTCATTTGTCACCATATCTAGTTGATTTTTTTTTCCCTCTGGTAAAATAATTCAAAGAGAACAAAGGTAAAAAACTGTTAACACTCAGGATGATTATCTTAACCTTTTAAGAGACAGCAACATTCAGTCTGCTCCCAGTTCAGGAAAACAACTCCTAAGCATTGTCAGTTCCACCTCATGAACTTGTCCTATTTTTGTTGTTGTTGGTTGTTGATTTGTTTTGACAAAATTTTATTTTCAGAAATGATGTCCATATCTGGCACGAAGGAGAGAACGGATTTTTCCTAAGCCATGACTTTTATGTCCCCCTTAAACGGGCAAAGACTGGGGCAAGAGCTGCAATTTTTCATGGGACTGACAGATAAAACTGAAAAGAAACAGTCAAGTTTTTGCTCACTAGAAGGATGCTCATCATCATCTTTTAATCACCCATGGTATGGGACATAACTGTTGCCATCTCCTTTAAGGTAGCTCGACTACAAGCTGGCAGCACCACCACTACATGGTGGTGCAGAGATGTTAAAATAAGATGGTAATTTCAAACTTAAAAAAAAAAAAAAAAAAAAGGCCCTAAATGCTGCTGAGAAACCTAAATTTATGGCCTTAACACCTAATTAGGTGCTAAATGGCTGTCAGGAGAAATCTCCATAATAATCCTGTTAGCATTTAATGCCTAATTATCACTTCAGAGTGTAGTCTAGGCTATATAATTGAGAATTACAATACTTAAAGGACTCAAAGCAGAGGATTTTTTGAATGCATTTAAGTGAATTATTCCTTTGTCTGTAGTGAGTTTAGAAGGTACTGAAATCACAATGGGGGTTTAAGAAAAGGTTGGACTTTTGTAAAACAGTCAAATACTCACTTATCTTCTGTCTCCTCAAAGGCCTAACTTGCAGCGTTTGCTCACCCAAAACAGTAAGAAATCTGTGCATATGAAGAACTGAAGCAAAGCTATTCAACTCCCCAGCCAGATGGTTAAGAGATGCATATCTCCTGTTCAACCACCTGTTTAAACTCACTTTCTGGACTGGTTCTCACAACCAGTAGTTACCTGTTGGGCTGTCTTTCACAGCTTTCAAGGGAAAGCAACTAGCA